ATATATATATATATATATATATATATATATATATATATATATATATGTGTGTGTGTGTATATATATATATACACACACACACACACTCTTTTACACACAATCTCTCTTTCTCTCTCTCCCCTTATCTCTCTTTCTCTCTCTCCCCTTATCTCTCTGTCCCTTGGTCTACCGCATCGAGGGGAGGAGAGAGACTGGCTTAAGATTAATAAGATCACGAGCCTGTTGTAACGTGCAATTAAAGAAAAATAAGATAGGCAGAAAGATCTCGCTGCGTAGACTCGCACCAGATCGAACCGCGCGTCGATCCGTGAGGGCTTAAATGAAAGGGAAAGAAATTTGTAATATTTGTATATAGCCATGTTACTGTGGTAAAGAAGAAAATTACCTATTATTATATATAAATAATATTATATACACATTACCTATGTAATATCGTTACGTTGTTGTACTATATTATTGTGAACACCATTTCTCAAACATCGATTTTTTTAAATAAAAAAAGAAAAGCTCTTTCTTGACACACACTAAATACCAAGCCAAAATCCGTCACGTTACTCGGCCATGTGTGGCTCGTGTCGCGCGGCTACTATGTACACCCATGCGTATGTAACTCGCCAGTCGTTGCACATCCGCATCTAATAACTATATTCACCGTTCGTGTATACTCCGAGTGCGAACGCGTCCCTCGTCGTGATTCGCACTTCGTTCGCTTTGTGTACGAAAAGTGAGCTCTCTTTACCGCGATTCAACGCGATACACGCGAGAAAGTGCAAAAATAACGTATAAAAGAGAGAGAAGCGCGTCTCGCGATGTACTACGTCATACGAAAAAAGGTCGTAGAAGAAACTTAGAGCGTGTTTCTACGAATAAATATTCATACTCGATCTCGCTCGACACATTCTTCTTCATCGATCCCCACCGACCTCGTGCGTTCAAGAGAAGCGGATGAGAACGATACACAAAGGGACGAAATCGGGTGGGATAGGAGCGCGGCGATCCACGGTTCCCTCGAAGTCGATCGGTGCCTGAGCGTTTTACTAACGAGCCTTTTCGTCAGACTGATATATTCGCCCTAATCTAACTAATTAAAAGGTCGATCACACAGTGGACGGCGCGTTTGCGCGCGAAGAAATGTCACGTGCGACCTCGTCGACGTGTCAACGACCAACTAGTTCGTTCGCGCGCGTGCGGATTTTACAATGCGTGTTACGAGAGTCAGTCTACATTCGAAAAAAAAGAGGAGAAAACACGAAAAAAAAAAGAGATCAATCTTGTCTACAGAATAACGTCGCGCTATGCGTCACGGCTTCGAACACGTCAGATCTGTAATCTGAGCGGCGCTCGGCGATTCGATTTCGTTCGCGATCCAGAAAGATAAATTTCAATTTTCGAGCGCGAGAACCGTCATTCGTCAGACTCGCCTTGACGCGAGCTTGCGATTTCTTCTTCTTCTTTCTTCTGTGTTTCTTTTTTCTCTCTTAAGTTCGCAACGACGTCTCAGAAACGCAATGCCTGGGTGGACGAGACGTACCACGCTCCCTCACACACCACACATACCCACATCATACACGCACACCCACGAGGAAACACACTCCCGGACGTAGGCGTCCGGGGTTTCCCTCCAGCGTATTTCATCGTTCTCGAATCCTCCTAGCCGTCGATGTACATAACTGTTTTATATTGTTGTAAAGTAGTACCGATTATAGAGCGAGGCAGGGGCGGACTGTTGTATACTTCGGAATATTATCGGACGCGCGGCGCACTCGCGGTGCAAAACCACCGGCCCTTTACCGGCGTTCATAATGTAAGCGCACAAAAAAGAAAAAAAAAAACGAGAATAAGGAACGAGCGGAGGAACAGAGAAGAAACGATTAACGATTTATGTGTCTTCTTCGTGTTTAATCGTAAACTTTATTATCAATTAAATCTTGAACGTCTACGAAAAAAAAGCGTCTGTGTCTTTGCCTAGGTACCTCTCTCTCTCTTTATCTCTTTATCTCGATTGGCGCTAAGAGCCGACTCGTAGAACGCGATGATTAACGACCGTGCTGAATAACGCCCGTGGTATGATGCGAATTTGCGCAGCGAATTCTCACTGTGGACGCCGATGATCCATGATGTCCCTTGCGATATATTTCGGACGCCTCTGCAAAATTGCACATTTCCATTCGTCACGTGACACCAGCGCGCGCGTTGTTTTTTTCCGTGAGAAAGAAAAAATAATGAATATTGCTTATTGTCCCGTTCGCCGCGTCGCATTACATTATGTAACGATATGTTAGAGGTAGAGTAATTGATGGATGAGTCGTGTGCGGCTTGCAAGTAGAGAGACGACTGTGTTCTATGTTCGAGGAGTCTTTCCTTTCACTTGCAAGCCGCACTCATTCTGATTAACGGGTTTTCTTTTTTAATTAAAAATTAAGCTGTCGATAGCTCATATCATCGCGTTCTTCGGGTTCCCGGATTGCTCTATGGTGATAATTAATAAGTAACGCCTTCCGACGATCGATGAGTCACTGTTGTATATAATGTTTCTCTAGTATGTACTGCGGAAGTTAAATCGATTAATTTGAATTTTATTGTCTGTTAATACACATATATATATATATATATATATATATATATATATATATATATATATATATATATATATAATATAAACTAAATTTACCAAAATAAAGTTAATGAATTACTGGAGACGAACGCGTGCGCAAACGCGTGTGTGTGTGTATACCGTGTGCGCATAAAAGCGACGTTGGCGATCGTGCAATTTACTTTGCGAAAAATGTTTTTTAAATAGCTTGTAATATTTTAAGATGTAAGGAGCGTCTGAGAGAAGCAATTCAAACTCGTTTTATATCTTTTGACGCGCTACACGGCCGGCGTAAAACGTTTATAAATAATTAGCGGTAGAGGAAAGCATAGATATCCACTTTTGTCAAGAATTTATATATCGTTCATTTAGGCTACAATTAAATCGACTCGCAATCTCCGAGTGTCTCATAATTAATGTGCACCATTACACTCCACTCTAGCTACGAGTCCCGTCTCTAATTACCCCAATTAGCGAGTTATCCGGCTCTCGTAGGACTCTGCGTGATGTCCCGACAAGAGTGTCGTCTACATTCCTACCACTTAGTCCTTAGAAGTTAGTCCCTCGTTACTACGACGATGAAGTTTTATCGTTACATCTATCTCGCGTAATTTCATTTTATGCGACTTGTTTGGAAGTGTCTCGTTTCGAATACCGTGCGTCGGACGGGAAATATCGTATTTTACGCACGTTGCCCCCGAACATTTCAGATTTTCGCGTCAGGGCCACCCAGCACGCGCTTAACCCTCTTGAATCTGGCCAGAGAGTTACCAGACTCGCTCTGTAAGCCGCCGAAGGCTTCTTTGTATTCTTTAGCTAAACGAGGACTCAATTCCTGCGAGCTGCCCGTGAGAGATACCAAGGAATCCGCGCGTCCAACAGAACTCTGTCCTTCTTCGTTACTCTCGCCTTCGTTAACAAGATGCAGAGGCGCTTGTACCTGTGATAGTTTCGCATTATTTGTCGAATATACAGGGTGTCAATCTTCGAAGCTCTCGTGGAGGCATAGTACGGATTGAGATGAACATAAAATATGTACCGTTTTGTGATATTCGCAATAATTATCGAAATATTAATTAAAGAATGAATTGTGAATGATCACGCGAGATTTGGTACATTAGGTCGAACTGAACAGAAAAGTCCTCTCTACCATTTTCCTAATAACTTTATAGATTTTTAATTATTAATTAAAGAAGATTGGCGAATGGTCACTCGCGGTAATATATTAATGTTATCTAATTAATATAACTAAAGATCTACAAAGTTATTAAGGAAGAAAAATAGAGAACTTTTTTGTCCAGTTTGATTTAATGTACAAGCACATAATAGATATCGCCACTACAGTTCATCTAGCATGAAGCGAGAAAACTCATGCCCAAAATTCTTGCTGAAATAAACGAATATATCCATAAAGTGAACATTAAAAAAGATCGATTAAGCATATATGTATTCTGAACTTCCTTTTTGTTGCAATAATCAATAAATAAACGTGATAAAATTAACGTGACATGCAATCTTTTCTCATGATTTTATCACGTTAATTTTACGGTTATTTATTGATTGTTAAAGTAAAAGGAAAGTTTGCGAAATATTTTATGGTACAAATGTGTTCAATCGATCGCAAGTGTCGTTTTACGAATATAATCTTTAAATATAAATTATGAATATAACCTTTTATTTCGACATATTTCGCAAAAATGTTGGGCATATATTTTGTCGTTTCTAACGCTATTAATCTTCTGAGGACCGGCTATTTTTTTATCGACTTTTTTATTTTAAATGCTAGAACTTTTTTGTCAATGTCATTGGATTGAATGGAGAAAAACCTAACACCGCGCCGATATATCGGCTCCGATCCTCCAAAGATTAATCAAGATGGCCGCGGCGAGGGAACGCAGAAGCCTTAAGAAGAGCTTGTTTCATCAAGCTGTTTTATATCTTCCATTTGCAACTGCGATACTTTGCGCGAAAATAGACGGTTTAGTCGGTTTTTTCCCGTAATTCCCATTCGATCTCACCGTTTCATCATTCGCACGAAGATAGGAATTTAAGTCCTGATTCAGGGCTAATTCATTCCCCAATTTCCCGTCACTTCCGCCCGACGGCAACGCATAACTTCTCGAGTGCTTCTTTTTCGCCCGCTGACGATCTTTCTTCACCAAGATCGTTTCTCTGGCGCGTTCGCGTTTCTTCTTGAAGAATCCTTTCGACGGACTTTGTTTAGAGGACTCGTCGCGATGCTTTGCGAATCGTCTCTTCGGCTTTTCACGCAACGAATGCTTTCTCGACTTATTATCTGACTTGTCGGTTTCGCTGGATCGACGTTGCGGTTTCTCGCACGATTCTCGCTTTGGAGATCGCTTCTTGTCGGCGTTCTTCGAAGAGGCGACTGCTTCGACGTCGCGTATCGATCTCTTCTTGGCCATACTCTGACGCTTCTCGATCGAGTTATCTGCAAAGTTCCGACTCTCTTCTTCCTGCAGCTCGTCAAACTTGGCGTTGTTCTCCTGGATATCCCGGATTCGTCGCTGCGCCTCGATGTCGCGTCGGATCTCGTCCTTCATCGAGTCTATCTTCCGTCGTATCCGTTCCTCCGCGCGTTTCTCTACGACGCTCGCGTCTTCGGCTGAAGCGCCGCTCGAGCTCGAAACTGCCTCGTTCGACGCGAATCCTACGAGCTTATTGGATGCACCGTTATTAGGAAGCAACGGCTCGTCAATTCCCCTCGACAATTCGACGTTAGAAACTTGACGTGAGGAAGGTTCGTCCACCTTTGACTCTTCCAAGTTTCCTGAGTCGAGCCGAAGCTCTGAAGCGATTTCGCTGCTTCTCATTCCCTCAGACACCAGTAAATCGCTGGCATTCGACTTGACGTTGTTGTCAAGCGATCCTGAAGTCGCTTGATTCCTCTTCACTCGAGCGTCGCTACGCGTTTCCCTTCTTTCAGCTTCATCCGCTGCCGATTCTTCCTCTCGCACAGCGGCCATGTCTTCTAGCACATCTGGTGAGTCTTCTTCCACTTCCTCGTAATCTTCCGCGCCGCGTTTCGCGACATCTTTCACCTCGTAGTCGTCATACAGACTCGATCCTTCGTCCTGATCGATGTACTTGAGATCGGCAGATCGAGATAAACGCACGAGGTTGCTCGTCTCCTCGTCCTCGTCGTATTCTCGTCTCCTTGTTATCTCGTCGTCCGCTTCTTCTGCATAATCCGCTTTCTCATTTGAATCGGGCAAGTTTAAATGGTTGACTGCGTTATCGTCGACCGATTTTTCAACATTTGATCGTAGGAAATCGTCATCTATGGAATTCAAGAAGTTTCTCGGGACCTCGCGCTTCTGCCTGAGAAATGTGTTGTTCTCTTCAACATTGCCATTACCTTTTTCGTATTTCAAGTTTACTTCTTGGATTTCTTTCGCGTCGTAGTTGGCATTCTGTCTCGGCTGTGAAGTAGCTTCGGATATCTCTCGTTTCACTCTAGAAATGTAGAATTTTTTAGAAGTATATGTTCAAAGAACAAGTACCTAGGATGACGTCAAATAACTTATTAATAATGTCTTCAACGTCAATAATATTTGCTAGATAGGAAACGTCGAACTCGAGTGAACTTATGACGAGTTGTAAATTTAAGGCTCCTGGCTTTTCGCCATGACCATTTTGAGGTCAGAAGAATGAGAAAATACATCCTAAATATTTTTGCAAAATAAAAGTAAAAAGATGTCCATACGTAAAAGTAAAAAGATATCCATAAAATAACACTTGCGATCATTTGAGCAAATTGTAATGAATAATCCGAATACTTTCTTCTTGTTCTAACAATCAATGAATAAAATTTACGAGATAAAATCAGAAGAAAATATAGGTTAACAAGGTAAGTTGTATATCGTGTGTGTGTGTGCGTCAATTTTACGGTAATTTAATAATTGTCAGAGCGAAAGGAAACGTTCGAACTGTACGGATATACCCAGTCGATTGTAAGTGTCATTTTGTGAGCATATCTTTGTATTTCTACGTATTTTGCAAGAATTTTTAGCGTGTATTTTCCCGCTTCTAACGTCATAAATCGAGAAACCAAGGACGGATGGATACGGGACGGCTTACGAGAATCACATGTACTGTCGATACCTGCGAGTAACGTTGATGGTTTCCGCATGGCGAATCGGTGCTAGTGATATCTCGAGCAACAGTGCCAGGGCGAAGACATGTACGCAGTCGTGCAATCGATTTCTCATGCTGCTGCAGCATGAGAGCTCTTACAGCGTGCTGCAGAGAGTAGACTGTGTTACCGTTATCACATTAAACTGGAAAACCGATTAAACGATAAAATTTCATGTTTTCCTCGCGAGCTGTCAATTCTCAAGCCACTGCGAAACTGCGTACTTGAGGTGACAAGTTATCGTATCGAAACGCGATTGTATTTACGATTGTGCTAACTTCTTATGTTATATGGGTCAGTCAAAAGACATAAACCTCCATAAATTTGCACGGAAATATCACACTTGAAAACTTGACCGACGAAATGCAAACACAAGGCTTTCGCACACACACTTGCAAAACACTTTCGCAAGGCTTATTACGTACTGTTTGCACAGAATTACAAATGCTTTTATCCGATGCAAGTATATGCAAAAATAAATTGAAGTGGCATACAATAAACATGTGCTTTTGTCATACTCAGTAATATTCCAACATATTTTCCAACATATATACATTCACTGCATAGAAGCAGAATTTATAATTCTGTGAAGCCAATACGACATGTAAACTTGACTGAGCAAAATTTCTTATGCTTGGTTGACCAAGCATTTTTCAGCGCGCACGCACGGACAGACACGTACACAATGAAATTCACGATACGTTTCCTTCACAAAAAGATTTTTATTAAAAAACTGGTATTTGGTAAATAAAGTTTGTTTCTTCCTCTGCGTACAGGCGCGTATCGTATAAGTAGAATAGTAAATACAATTTTAGATAATCAGATACCTAAATTTATCAAGCATCGCCCAGGCAAGGGCACATTAATATTCTCGTGGGAGCGCACGACGTCCAAGTCGATGATGAGGAATCGCGTTATCATCATCGTCGCGGGGACGCACAGAGCAGGGGAAGGAAGGTGAAATAATTGAAGGGACACGCGGCGACAGAGATGTAAGGTAGTCGTCGTCGTCGTCCTTGCCTGTATGCGCCGTTTGTCCTATCGTTACAATAAAATGTGTCACAACGTTACAAATTAAAGTTACACCTACAACTATCTGTAGCAGAGCCATGGCCTCGCAACCACATTCGCATTCACTGACTCGTGACCTCACGCACTATCAGAGCGCGCGCGCGCGTGTGCACACGCGAAATAAAATAGAAATTATCTCTAATCAACTAGATAAACGACATCTTACTGATCCGAGCGCTCTCGCTGCTAGACACGAATGTCCGTTAACGCTACGCCGCTGTTTGCTGCACGGCGAGAGGAATTCCGCGCTGAATTTCCGCCGAGGATCCGCCAAGGATCCCGCCGCTCGACGGCAATCAGAGTTGGTCGACGCGAAGTAACGTGAGAAGATCGTGGGTGATCTCGCGTACTTATCGCGAGACGGGAATCCTTCGAATCCGAGATAACGATGCTTCGAAGCGTGCCTTTTACTCGCGTTCCTCCCTTCTCTTTCCTCTGTTCCTCCTGCTTCCTCGTAGACTTCTCTTTCGTCTCACGGCAGTGGCGTTTGCTTTAAACTCAAGGAGGAGGTGTACCGAAACGTTTATGCATCGCCCAAAAGAACCTCTAAGAAAATAGTTTCGCCCCTCGACTTGTGACAGCTTGTGATATTTAAAAATTCTTAAAACTCGGAGAGGGTGTAGTACACACCATACGAGACGTTTGCACGTTCCCGAAGTGGCTCCCGTCTCGTCTGACGTTTCGGAAACAAAGGAAAGCTCGTTGAAATCGGACGCTCATGAAATTCGCACCGAAGCTCAGAGTCTCAGCGCCGTCGAAATACTACGCTCCACTTCGTCGTGCAAGCGACTCGTAGCTGACATCGTTTCAGCATCCACCCGAGATTACGGGAGAATGTTAGGCTAATATCTTTGATTCAATATCCTCCTCTTCGGCATAATCTTGTTTTCTGCGGGCAATTAACGCACGATTCTGTATCGCTCAGGCGGATTAATCCATCTCTAATAACTATGATCCTCGACGAAAGGAGATCAACGGTGCATTCGAGTCTACGGAGTTCTCGAGAGGTGTTAGCGTTGAGTGGCTCTTCTATTGTTAATCTTTCAGGAAACAACGAGCACAGTGTCCACGAGTCTCGCCGAGAAGCTCCGTGTTGCGAATACGTTACGTATGCCTCGTCTGATACTCTCTAAATTTCTTCAAGTGAAATTCATCTCGAAAAGTAGAGTGACTCAGCTGAGTCACTCGAATTTCAGTGATTTTTCGCTCGTATAGAGTGAATTCTCCACTCTGAATAATCGAACAGACTTTTCATCCGAAATTGAATACCATCGTCAATAAATTCAATTTAATCGACTGCAACATTTATTCGTATAGATTAAAAGTCGGCCCTCTAAGTTTGAATTAGACACTCAATAAACACCAACTGTCAATACTCTGGTAGAAATGTATGCAATTTGTGCAGACATCTACTCGGTTATTACTATCAATGCGTTCTCATTAGTTCTAGAACTAATAATAATAATAAAATAAACTGCGTAGGAACTGAACAAGAACTGGGTTAAGTGATTGGAGCAATTTACTGTACAATGTGCGAACCGATTCTTTCCAAGTCATAGCATCAATAATATTAATTCAGTTTTATAATGTACGCATGTTATAATATATATAGTGAATAAATGTAGCAAATATTCTTTATTTACATTGTTATAAAAGGACTTGAAATTGAAGGGCATGAAGAATGTAGGTATAAGAAAGCATAGAGCAAAGAAAACGAAATTGGAAGCAATAAGGCATTTGACAATATTAAACCCTGCGGCAGAGATGACAACTAAACTTAAGAATGAAAGTGAGCAAAAGACAAATGGGATATATGGTTAATAATATAGAATTCCATTGCATTGAAAACACATCAGACTATTCTGATACCAATGATACAAATAAAAACTGCAGGAAATTGGAAGCAATAAGGCATTTGACAATATTAAACCCTGCGGCAGAGATGACAACTAAACTTAAGAATGAAAGTGAGCAAAAGACAAATGGGATATATGGTTAATAATATAGAATTCCATTGCATTGAGAACACATCAGACTATTCTGATACCAATGATACAAATAAAAACTGCAGGAAAAGTGTTACATCTTGATTGGATTCCACAAGTAGTTTGCTATTCAGTTCAGCTAAACAAAACTAACATAACTGTACAGTACAGTACTGTACAATACTGTACAGTAAAAACGGCTCGAAAATAGCATTAAATTTCTACCAGGGATAATATTAACATTATAATTTCCTACTTAACGATATAAATGCAAAATATAACATAACGCGAGTGTTATGTAACAGTTACACTGTTAAGTGGGAAATTACAACGATGTAGTGTTACTGTTAGTTAGAGTTTACTGGGCATTCACTCTTGTGAGTTGGAATGGCGATATCTTCGCTATCGCTTCGATAATTTCGCGCTTCGTAAATTTTCGCCCGTCTTGAGAGTGATTTCACTCCAAAAAATGCAGAGAAAGAGAGAGAGAAAGAGAGAATACTTCGCCGATTACACACGACAGACTATACAAAACACACTTCTTCTCGCGCATCCACACGTTTACGTATAGTCCCAAACAGCCACACATACTGGCGCACGTGCGCACTGCTCGCGATGCGCTTATTCGCAATACGAATTTTAAGATCGCAAAGCGAACCGCCGCGCAATTCGTCGCCGAGCAGCGTCTCTCGGAAGCGGAAACCGGAAGAGAGGTTCCCGCGCCCTACCTCGTCTCCTCTGCACATCTGTATCACAGCTGATCGTAAAATTGACGAGAGATAACTTCGATCCTACATTGCGATTTGCAGCAAATCAAACGTTTGAGCAGCGTTTGCAGTCGTACGATGTAGTTCGTGTCCAACAACGATATACGTTCGGTTAACGCGACATAATCGTTACACATAAGATTTAAAATTTCAGTTCGTACAACTGTACGGGCACTAGACGGAAAACTCGCCGACAAAAAATATAGTATCTGTTGCTATAACAGAAAAAATTCGTCTAAACTTCAGGAATCTTGCAGTTCCTGCAACGGAGTTTTTCATCTAACCTGCCGGATAACAGAACATTCAATTACACTAGCGGAACTGTTTCTTCCGTGCAGTCGCTTAAACAAAAAAAGACACGCGAACCATAGAGGTCTTTGTGATTTTTACTTCAGCGCGCTCTCTGTGTTAAAAATAAGTCTTCCGTGATACCACGCGAACAATCAGTGGATGACAACAAATATTTATCTAAACACGTGCGATAGGCACAGAAAATATGTGTAATATATGTAATTTAATATATGTGTATTAAAATAAATCGCATGCCGTGTACAATAGTCTGATAAAAATAGGATCAATGTTGCAATAAGAACGATTGAACGCTATATATTATTAAAAAAGAAAAACAGTGCATAATTCTAATATAAAAAGAAAAAAAAAATATATGATTTTTATGGAGCAACTTGTACGAGGAGGAAAAATATCTTCTTTTTTATCTCTAGATAATTGGATCATTACTTACTTTGTATGTGTGTGTATGTGTGTATATGTGTGTGTGCATCGCTATTATAAACATTTTAAACATAAAATAATTATTTTGGTGGAAAAATATATATTATTATTGAAAAATGTATACAGTGTAAATTTTTGATACTCTTCGCATAAACCAAATTTTCCGCGACAGTACGATAACGTAAAGTATTTTGTTGCAGATATATTCCACGATAATATTAACAAATTAAATAATTAAGTGATTGATTAATATATATATATATATATATATATATATATATATATATATATATATATATATATATA